TTTTTTTTTTTTTTTTTTTTTTTGTTTAGAGAGAATTGATAGATAGAGAATTGATTTTAGAGCTTGTATGAAGATATAAAATTAATACTTACGTTTAAATTTACCACTTCTAACGACCTTTGGTTTAGTTTTTCCTCCACCATAGATTTTACTTTCGAAATCAATCCCTCCTCGCATGTTTTGTTGGCTTGTCTGATTTCGCGAATAAAATCTGAAGGAATTAAAATATTCGTGTTATTTTGTGTTATTTATATTATATTGCAACTGTATTATCGTTTGTATTAATATTAATACAAAACACAAAATTGGATTAATTTCAAAAAAATTCAAAGAGATTCTAGGAATAATCTGTTATAACAACTTTTGTTAATATTTACCTGATAACATTCCTGGTTGATAATCTGAAGAGCCGCTATATTTACATTGTGCTAGTTTTGCTTTCATACTGCCTAGTTCCGATTTTGTTTCATTCAACTCTTTGAACAGTTGACTATTGCCTTTTTTCAGTTCTGTCATCTGAAAGCAAAATTGTACGATTATTAATATATATCTGTTACGTTTTAAATATATATAATTTAATATATCCACCTGTTCGATAAGAGATAAGACAAGCTTATTGCTACGTCCAACTGTAGTAATGGAGCTTCCACTATCGATACTATCAGAATCTTCGCTCTGAGTTTGAACTGGAGCTTCTGCGGATCCAAGACCAGGATCTGAATACCTCCGATGCTCTGAATTTGGCTCATCCCCATTTATTTCATTATTCTTGTTACCAGTAGGTGGCAAGCTTGCATAATCTCCATTTTGATAATTAATAGGCACAGAAGATTCTACTCCATTTTCTTGTAAACTTGAGTAACCATTCCCCATAGAATTCATATTCAAATTCATTGGAAAATTTTGATTACAATGCCGTCTAGGTCTACCGTGAACAGTTCTAATGCCAGAAAACGGTACTGGTTGATATAACCTATACATGGTTGGAAGTGAAACAGGTTCCATGGTATATGTCATGGGCATCTGTGTATAGCCACACATGCTAGGATCGGATGTTGTTGTAAAAAGACGTTGTCCATTGTTCGAAAAGTTTTGTTGTACATTGGACTGCCATAATAAATGCTGATACTCCATTCCAGGTACCATGTCGTTATTTTGATTGTTCTGCATGTTATTCATCCATAAACCAAGTATATTATTTTTTTTACTTGATCTTTTCTTATTTTTCTTAGAATGACTAGAGATATCCTCACGATACCCTGACCTAGATGTATCCAATTTGCTAAAAATTTGTTAAGATTAAAAAGATATTAACGATTATAAATCGAACGAATCACACAAAATATCACGACGTACCTTTTATCCATTTTTACGGACGACGTACACCGTGTCAGAGGTTAGTCGAAAATCAACACTTGTAGTATACGTGACATGGAGATTTGACCAGATATCGTACCGTAATGCGTACGCAGAAATATTGATATCTCGATTTTTTATAAACTTAGCTTAGTAATATCGTAGTAATAGTAAATACGGACGGTAAACACTCGACTCACTCTGTTCTATTCAGAATCAGTGGTTATCACTTTGCGGCTGATTGGTTGAATGAATCCCTACTCTTTCCTAACTGCAAAACGTAATTATTTATATCACAAACGATGTATAAGATATACTTTTAATGCTACTTTGTGTCCTACGTTTTAAAATACTGATCGTGTAAAAAAATCATATATCGGAGCCGTCTCTTAAGCTCATAAATTATGTAGAGCAAGTATAGACAAAGAGAGGAAATAATCAAAGAAGGACAAAGATAGGGTAAAAATATTGAAATCAACGCCATCTTCAGAGTGCCGCAAATAAAACTCAATAAAGAAAGGATAAAAGATAGATGGAGAAAGATAGAGATAGGATAAGAATTAACTTTTAGCACCATCTCTTGAGTATGAGAAATATTTCATGAGTATCGTTGAGCATCTTTCAAAGAGATGACGCTATTAGTTAAGTATTTATGTAGAGATTTCTTTCGTATTCAATAGATGGCATTGATCTTTAATTTTTATCTTAGTCTAAAATCTTTATTCAAGAGATGACACTAATGGTCAATTCTTGCCCTAAAGATGGCGTTGATTTCAATATTTTTATCTTATCTCTGTCCTTTTCTCACTATTTCCTCTCCTTGTCTATATTTGTTTTACAAATTATAACATTATAAATATCAATCCACTTGTGACAATCTAGATCAAAAAGATTTAAGATCTTTTTTAATAAAAATAAGAAAGAGACATAACAGTTTGCATATTTTTATATGTTGTATATATATATATATATTACATATATATCTGTATTTATATACTTTGATTACTGCATTTGTATATTTTTTATTTTTTTACATGTCTTTTTTATGAAATATATATATTTTTAATTTTATGTGATGCCCAAATTTTGTTTACCACAAATATATATATGTATATAAATACGAATACCGCCTTTGACGTTAAGACATTGTACGCATGCGCCATAGTAGTTCTTCCAAGCTTTCAAGTGACGTGGCTTCAATGACGGCACGAGTTGTACTGTTACGGTGAAGTAGTGTCCTTTTAATTCAATTGTAAAATAATGCTGTAATTATGAGAACTTGATAGTAAAGATTATTTAAAATTATCTCAAGCTTATAATTAAAAGTACACGATAGTCATCGTTGACTTAATTAGGTATGTTTAACCTAAAATCATTTATACATTCTTTACACTTGTCACATATTTAAAAATTATATGAATATTAAGGATTAAAGTTGAATGTTATTTTTATTATCTGGTATTCCTTGATTATAGCAACATGACTACTTATGAAGATTTCATTCAACAAAATGAAGACCGTGATGGAATACGTATTACTTGGAATGTTTGGCCCTCATCACGTGTAGATGCTACTAGACTTGTTGTGCCCTTAGGAACACTTTATCAACCGATTAAAGAAAGGCCAGATCTCCCACCAATACAATATGATCCTGTTCTTTGTACAAGATCTACATGTAGAGCAATTTTAAATCCATTATGCCAAGTCGATTACCGTGCTAAATTATGGGTGTGCAATCTATGCTTTCAAAGAAATCCTGTAAGAATTAAATCATATTGATTATAAAAATAAACATAATTATCTTGTAATAAAATAATATTTGATATATAATATATTTTCAGTTTCCTCCACAATATGCTGCCATTTCAGAACAACATCAACCAGCTGAATTAATTCCAAAATTTTCAACTATTGAATATACCATAATGGTAAACAATATTTATGTCAAAATAAAATACTATTTTTATTAGTAGGTTTTTTTATTAGATATTAATTATTATTATTTTTGAATAGAGAGCACAGTGTTTACCACCCATTTTTTTACTGGTTGTGGATACATGTATGGATGACGAAGAACTAGGTTCTCTCAAAGATTCTTTACAAATGTCACTTTCTTTACTTCCACCTAATGCTCTAATTGGTCTTATTACATTTGGAAGAATGGTACAAGTACATGAACTAAGTTGTGAAGGATGCAGTAAAAGTTATGTTTTTCGTGGTACTAAAGATTTACAACCAAAACAGGTTCAAGATATGCTAGGTATATTTTTCTAATAAAACGTAACTGTACAAAAGAGATATTTATTATCACGATTTATAGGTATAGGTCGGCCAATACCAGGTCAAAATCCAAATCAACAAAGAGGACCTGGTGGACAACCATTACCAGCAGCAAATCGTTTTTTACAACCTGTACATAAATGTGATATGAGTTTAACAGATCTTTTGGGAGAACTTCAACGAGATCCATGGCCGATCGGGCCAGGAAAACGTCCATTGCGATCGACGGGTGTCGCACTAGCTGTTGCTACTGGTCTTTTGGAAGCTAGTTATGCTAATACAGGAGCTAGGTACATGTTTCGATTATAAATTTTTTATTCGAATATTTTGAATAAAAATATACGTTATTATTTTTAGGATAATGCTATTTGTGGGTGGACCTTGTTCTCAAGGACCTGGTCAAGTCGTAACGGATGACTTACGACAACCTATTAGATCGCATCATGATATTCAAAAAGATAACGCTAAACATATGAAAAAGGCAACTAAACATTATGATTCTCTCGCGTCACGCGCTGCAACAAACGGTCACATAATAGATATCTATTCGTGCGCTCTCGATCAAACCGGTCTATTAGAAATGAGACAATGTTGCAATTCAACTGGTGGTCATATGCTTATGGGAGATTCTTTCAATTCTTCTCTATTCAAGCAAACATTCCAACGTGTGTTTGCTAAAGATCATAAAGGCGATTTGAAAATGGCATTTAATGCAACATTGGAAGTGAAAACGTCACGAGAAATTAAAGTTTCCGGTGCGATCGGGCCTTGCGTATCTCTAGGAGTAAAAGGATCAAGTGTCGGAGAACAAGAAGTAGGATTAGGTGGTACATGCCAGTGGAAATTCTGTTCCCTTACACCTTCCACTACTACAGCATTATTTTTCGAAGTTGTCAATCAACATACGGCACCAATTCCTCAAGGTGGAAGAGGCTGTATTCAATTTATCACACAGTATCAACATAGTAGCGGTCAACGAAGAATCAGAGTTACTACAATTGCTAGAAAGTATGTTAATATATTTATTAAATCTTTGTTATTGTTAATTTTTATTACCTTTTAATCATAATAATTTCGATTATAGTTGGGCAGATGCATCGACATCTTTACATCATATAAGTGCCGGATTTGATCAAGAAGCAGCCGCTGTTCTCATGTCGCGTTTAGCTGTATTTAGGGCAGAAAGTGACGATGGACCAGATGTTTTAAGATGGGTCGATCGTATGCTTATTAGATTAGTTTGTATTTTTTTCAGTTTTAAATTTATATTTAACATTTAATATAATATACGTAATATTTCTAACATTAAGCATTTCTTTTATAGTGCCAGAAATTTGGAGAATACACAAAAGATGATCCAAATAGTTTTAGACTTGCAGAAAACTTTTCTTTATATCCTCAATTTATGTATCATTTGCGTAGATCGCAATTTCTACAAGTATTTAATAATTCTCCCGATGAAACTAGTTTTTATAGGTCAGCTATTATTATACTTTCGTGTTTCAATCAATTGAAATATTATTACTAATTAAATTTTAAATATTATAGACATATGCTCATGAGAGAAGATTTAACAAATTCTTTGATAATGGTACAGCCAATTTTGTACAGTTATGGATTTAGTGGCCCTCCGGAACCAGTTTTATTAGATACATCATCTATTCAGCCAGATAGAATTTTATTGATGGATACTTTCTTCCAAATCCTTATATTCCATGGAGAGGTAGTTATTTATCATTGTTTATGATTAATGATAATGTGCTTGCAATTGTATATTAATTTATTACAGACCATTGCACAATGGCGTCAATTAAAATATCAAGATTTGCCAGAATATGAAAATTTCCGACAATTATTGGCAGCACCTGTTGATGATGCTGCTGAAATATTAGCCGAACGGTTTCCTGCACCTAGATATATCGATACTGAACAAGGTGGTTCACAAGCAAGGTTTTTATTGAGCAAAGTGAATCCAAGTCAAACTCATAACAATATGTATGCTTATGGAGCGGTAAGTACATTATTTAGTATTTTTATTCTTAATAATATAAATACATTTTCAACATCAAATTTATTCATATTAGACTATTTTATTTATTTTTCATTTTCAACGAATTAAACATTTTAATCAACCATATGTAATTAATAATCTTTTCATGTCATCGTGATCCTGCAACCAGGGGATGCCGATACCCAGTGGGGTGTGTTTTACATTCATTTGATAATTATATTTTTTTTCTTTATATTTGCTTTTATTGCTTTGGTAATGGAATTAGTGGGGAAAATTTAGAAATTTAAATAGTTAATATTTCTTATTTATACGATAAAATATTTATTTTTTTTTCATCATAATATTTTTTAACAGTAATGTAAAAAGTAACTAACAAATATTAACTATTACTCCAAAACTATCGCTATAAAAATATCAATATTAAATCGTTTTAAATTATCTCACGTTATTTAACACGATTTCACTATAAGGCAAGCATAAAATTCTACACACTTTAACAGTTTTTTGCAACAGTATTATCACAATTCACTGGTGGTTGGCATCAAAAAAATCTTTGTCCACAAAATACATTTTTATAAATTATAATTAACTTTAATCTATTAATTAATCTATTTATTTATTTATTTATTTATTTATTTATTTATTTATTTAGCAATAAAACTTATTAGCTTCTCTTCATTTTATTGATTATTAATTATAATTTTTAATTAATTTTTATTGTAATTTAGGAAAGTGGAGCGCCTGTCTTAACTGATGATGTCAGTTTACAAGTATTCATGGAGCATTTAAAAAAATTAGCTGTGTCATCCACGGCTTAAATTATTATAAAAATAAAATAAATATTCCTCATTGTTTTGCATATGCAAATTTTAATGCTTTGGAATATAATGAGGTACCGATAGTTACAATCTATTAAGAAAGATAAAATAAATGCAGTAAGAATTTTCATTATATCGAAAATGTACGATTAATTAAATATAATTCCTCAATATTTTTTTTGAAGTCAAGATATAATTCATGTACAAATAAAATACATAGTATTTGTGTAATACATATTTTACATTCATGTTTCCCATTTTTTTAATGTCATCAATAGCATAACTTATTTTCCAATAGTACTTGTTTATGTAAATGTAATACGTAGTAAATGTTATCATATTTTTCTTTGGAAAATGTAAGCAGTATAACAAGACAAATAATAAATTAAATGTTGTAAACTGTAGGTTAACAAAATCTGTAATAACTATGGAATTTATATATATATTATAAATCGTAAAAATCGTATAATTGTATCATTTTTTATTAATTAAAATTACAGCTGTTTTAATAACAGTTTAAAAAAAAAAAAAGGAATTTACTATCTTACCTTTCATTGTATCATTAAATACTGAACATAACTTCAACTTTTTTTCATGTAAAATAAATGAAAATATATAAGAAAAAATAAATTGTTATATTCATTATTATTATAAATTATAATAAATTTTAATATATATGCCCAACACATCAGTAAATTGTGCATTTATTTGAAGAAAAAAATAAATTAACTAAGAAATCGTATAGACATTTTTTGTTCTACATCTGTCCTCTCTAATGCTTTACAAAATTCTTCAAATGAAATCATTCCATCACCATTCTCATCAGCCTCTACTATAGTTCTTTCTGCAATACTAGTTAACTGTTCCTCGCTAAAATAAATGAGATATTTTTAAACAAATTATATAAATTATTTAAATTTATTTTATTTTTAAGTAATAAATTAAATTATTTTTGTTACCTAATATTTGCACCAACCATCATATGCAAAATAGCTAGTAATTCATCTTTTGATATTAAATCATCATTATCCAAATCATACATTTTGAAAGCAACTGAAATATAAATATAAACAAATATAAAATATTTTAAAATTTCTTTTGATTTTATTTGCTTTTATTTGATTTTATTATTTATTTTATTATTTTATTTTTTTATTTTTATATTGAGTTCATTATTAACTTACATTTTAATTTTTCTTGTCTAGAATTTAATCTATTAGGACTATTTTTTTTAATGGGTCTGAAGTGAGCCAGCACTTGCATAAATTGTAAAAAATTCACTCTATCATTACCACTTTCATCAAAGAAAGCATTTACAATTCTATCACCAAGAGGATTTATTGCCAATTCTGGAATTCTAAGGAAATCTTCTCTACTAAGAGTTCCACAATCTCCACGATCAAGACTTGTAAAACGACTATATAAACGTTCAATCTGGTTTGGTGTAACTATAACACAAAGTAAAAATTTAATCAATAAATATATATATTATTACAATGCACTTTAAATAAATATATTAATAATTAAATAAATATTCTCAAATATAAAATAAATATAGTAAAAAATATATATGATCATTATTATAATTTTCATAATAGGAAATATAATATATAAAATATATTATAAATTAATAATTAAATTATAGATTATATCTTAAACAGTAATAAATTCGAATGTTTTTTTGAAATAATGTATTTTATAAATAAAACTTACATCCAGTGGCTTCTTGGATTTGTGCTATTTCTTCTTCGCGTAGAAGAAGGCTAGATCTATTACCCATATTTTCTTTGATGTAATTAAAATATTTTTAATAAAATAATTTAATAATTTTAACTTAATTTAAATATATTAATTCATATTTAATTTCTTTATTTTAGAACGTACACTTTCTATATATGATATCCTGACATTTGACAAATAATCACAAGTGTCAAAGGTTACTGATGAAAAAAATCTCAAGACTGATATACAGTATGTTATTCCATTAGACAAATTTCATATATATTTAACATTAATCTAATATGTTCAAATAATTTTTTAAAGTCATTTTATTTAAAAAAAAAAAATATTTCATACAATATTTTTTGGAATTATTTCCAAATAATATATTATAAATTTAATAATAATATTACAAATAACAAACATTACAACAAAATTTCGTGCCAAAATTAAAATAAAAAAAAATTAAATTTTGTATTCTAAAAATTCTATTAATTATTATAAAGTTTCCACTATTATATTCCCTAGTATAGGGATTTATGCACAAATATGCAAAAATATTATATAAAGAACTCGAAACGACTTTATATGTATTTATTTTATAACATCATTCATTAATATTATTTTTGCTACTTGATCTTTATTTTTCATTTAATGAAAATTCATTTATATAAAAAAATTTTTTTTCATGTTATTTAAACTTTCATTATTCATTTTTTATATAGGAAATTATTATATGAATTCACACGAATTATTATAAATTATTATAAATTATTATATAAATTATTTAAATATTGTTTCGAATTTAATTAATATTACCGTTAATATTATTTCACAAAATTTTTTTCAAGTTTAAAAAATTATATGTTCGTGCTATGACTTTATAATTCCAACATCAGTGATCAGGAAGTGACGTTCATACAATATAGTGTCCACGTAGCGCCTCAGCTTCTGACGAACGTAGTTTTTCGTACGTCAAATATAACAGTTTGTGAAGCGTTCTTCATTTATACACATTGTGAGTACTGTGTTTTAAAAAAAAACTTTTTGATCTTTTCAAAGAAAATTAAGAAAAAAATTAACAACGCATTAATGGACAATTTTTGTAACCTATAAGTTATTTTAACTGTTATTACCGAATCCAAAAATTAATACATATATTTTTTTTTATTGAAGTGAAATATAACAATTTTTTAGATATACTATAAGTTTAAAAGCACATATAATTTTGCACATCGTTCGTATAAAATTTTACACGAATACTATCAGTTTATTCTAATTGAAATAAAAAATTGAATGTAAATGTGGTTTATCGACATAAATTTCATTGCACGAATATTTTATTTACAGTTACACAAGTACAATGGATCAGGTGAAGAAACTTACCGAACCTGGACGTCAATTTGCGAAAGATAGTATTCGTCTTATTAAACGATGCACAAAACCTGATAGGAAGGGTAAGTTTATAACAAATGTCATTGATTATTTTTTGAATTTTGTTTTACTCTAACTTATTGTTTGTTTGGTGACTCTTAGAATTTCAGAAAATTGCCATTGCCACTGCCATTGGTTTTTGCATAATGGGTTTTATAGGATTCTTTGTCAAATTAATTCATATTCCAATTAATAATATCATTGTGTAAGTGAATTTGATTATATATTGTTAATATCTCTTTTTAATTTTTAAATAATTATATTGATGTGTCATTTGTATCTTTCAGGGGTTCATAAACTCATTGAATAGGTATATTTAAGGTTTAATAAGATTATATTTCCTTCCCTCTTTCCAAAGTATCTTTATTTATAAAATGAAATTATGAATTTTGTTTTGAATTGATTGTGACTGAGATATGAGAATGTAATATTAATATTGAATTCTATAATAAAATGTGTGTGTAGTATTTGTTTGAGTTGATAGTACATTTTTTCAATATTTACATTTTTATTTTTAAATTTATGAAATGATTGTAAGTAAAAATAAAGAATAGATAATTAGTATATATTGAAGGCACTTTTATTTAAAGAATAAAATTTTTCTTTAGGTTACAACGTAGGTTAAAATTTTGTCAGCCATTTTTCTAATTTCAATTTAATGTATTCTTTCTAAAGAAAAATAGCTGTCGCATGGAAAACCATGGCCAGGTACTCAGTAATAAAAGACAATAGTACGATTTTGTTACAATGAATAAAATCTTATATACTGTTTACTATCTTGTTATTAAAATTATTTTGTTTTTATTCTCTAGAAAAACTTTTTAATATACTTTACTAAAAAGACAACGAACCTATAGCCAGATACAATAAGCGACTGTATCTGGAATTTTAATAATGGCAGTATGTATTGGATAGAGCAAACATAATTATATCAAAATAAATTCTATCTTTTATTTTTAAAGAACCATCAATTTTATATCTAATTTTTTATTTAAAAAATTTTTTCGAATATTCCATAAACACGATCGGAATATTTTTTACTTAAAATAAAATGCAACACTTTTAAAGAATTTTAAAGAATTTGCATATTAAAATTTATTGCGCATTTTTAGCATGTCAATAATATTATCTTTTTGGTTCCTCCTCTCAATATGTTAAAGATAGAAAAAATTTGTATATAAATATAAACTTTGTTTCAATACATTTGATATACTATTACTTTCAGAACTTTGCATTAGTAAATAGACATCGATAATATATATTTAACATGTGTATTAAACTATTAAATACTCTCTTCGGGCAACTTAATAAAATTTATATAAAAAGCAAATATATATATAAATATATATATATATATATATTTAATGTATGTATATGTATAGCACCATATGTATGTGACTATTACATGTTCTTCCTGCGTGTTAAAGAAAAAAATATTCTTAATGCTTGTGCACGCTTTTTAATCTCTTGACAAAAAAATAAGAGGAAGACTTTATCTCACTTCACACATTTTATGAAGTGCAAGAAAAATCTTTTCCTTCGTTATATCAATCGGCGGTAACATTCCAAATGAATAAAAAGTATCTTTTAATCCATGGATTAGAAAAAAAGCGTTTCACTATTAATCGTAACATTCGGCTAAGTATTAAACTAGCTTTTGTAAATTGCAGAACGCATAAGCGTAGCCCAAAGTGCGTTTACTAATTTCTTTCCACCGATATAATCTTTTCATAAAAATAAAAATATTCTCTGATCGATATTTCTGATGGTTCTTTGGCATCCTTGTCGCTATTACTTCGTGTATTAAAAAAATTTCAACGATCACATGATCAGAGTTACAATATAAAAGAAAATTAAAAAATAAAATTTTTTCGTGCAAACGCACTGAAGAAGGGTAACTACCCACAAAATTGAGGTATGTCGTCGGTCATTGTCATTAATCGTCATGTATATATATATATCATATGTTTGTTAATGTTTGTAATGACGCGTATGTGTTTGACATGTGCGTGTCTGCGAGTGTATACGTATATAATAATATATGTAATTTGTATAAAATATGCACATTTCACAGTATTAAATATATCATTACGATTGCTCGTATAATTATAAGTATCCTTTGAGAACGCGTCACATAGCCACGTCCCAATATACGAGAGATAGTCGTAATCAATATCAGAAGACTTATTATATGCTGAGTTATACAAATTATACTTTTTTTTTCTCACTGGTAAATCGAGAAAAAGCGGTCGCATAAAAAATAATCGACATCGGATGCGAACCGCCATTTGTAAAAGAAATTCTCGACTTTTACTTAAAATAACGAAACACTTTTGCAATGCTCGACTATTTTTTATGACTATCTTTAAATTTTCGTAAATATTTTTTAATACAGAAATTAATACAAATTAAAATAAAATAAAATTTTTTTTTTCTTTTTCTCTTTTTTCTTTTTTCTTTTAATATTCGATGTATCAACATACTAATATTAATAAATCGAGTATCGCAAAAATAATTCGTTTCTATCTTATATTTATTGATTACATTAATTATATTTTAGAATGTCACAGTATTTATTTTCAAGGAATTGGTTACTTACTTTCAAGAAAGGGTTATTCTTAAGGAATGTCTTCAAGCGTTCTACATCGAACGTTTCGAGTGCAAAGGGATAATGTTAAGAAATAGAAGGAAAAAAGAAGAAAGAATAGGATGAAAAGGAGAAATAGGAGCGCGTTGTTATGTAAAGTATAATCAACTTACAAGCTATAGACTTGCGATTATAAGAAACGGGAGATTCGGTTTACCGGAAATGTTAAGAATCTTCGAAAGAATCTCAAAAACATACAAAATTCCTAAATTACCTCGACGACGCTTCCATCAATTAAATAGATGTTATTACTTTCTCGTGTCTTCTTGGAATGCATGCAACTGTTTTTTCACCATCAAACAAATATTTAAATTTTTAATGGAACCATGTATCATCTTCTTTAATCGGTAAACCAAATCTCCACGGAAACTAATCTTTAAATGGCGCGGTAGGCATTGTTACAACGTCGATAAAGCTACTAAACCGTACAACCTGCATCGGAGGTTGGTACGAATGGACTTCCTTGTCGGTAAAAGTCAGCTTCATACTCTTCCACTTTTACTGGATATTCTGTCACACAATTCTGAGGTTGGTTCAATGCTGGTGGAGGCTGCACGAAATTCTCCTGGTAACTGGGCAGCTGCAAAGGTTCTGCAAACTGTTGATACGAATTGTCTGTGCCACCTTGTTTCAGACAAGTCGGTCCATGGAGACTTAGCATGTCTACAAGCCTACGCCTTTGCGTCTCCAGTTCCTGAATCTGCGACTTCAAGTCGTGGTTTTGCGTTTCGAGGATTTCTGACTCGTGCACCAAAGTCACTGTTTTTTCACGCTTCTTCAGTCGACACTTGGTAGCAGCTATCTTATTCCGTTCGCGCCTTCTTCGACGCCTCTCCTCATCCTCTGGCGTTAACTGCAAAAATTATTTAATTAATAAAATGTACAAATCAATAAAATGTTACAATATTTCTGTAATATAATATGAAAATAATTTATCTTATAGCTTAACGATTGAATTCTTGATCGGAGCAATAAATAAGAGAAGAAAATTGATTGGAATAAATGTCCGGTTTGACTCGAAAACCCGTGAAATCGATGAAACGACGACTTACAGCGCGAATTGCCGGACATCACGACTGGCTTTATCGTTTAAACGAGAATTATGTGAAGATTTCTTACTCCACCGCGGTTATTATTGTTGCCCGCTTCTTCTTCCTCCTCGTCATCCGCACTCCCGTCTTCCTTCTTTGTCTTTTTCTTCGTGTCATCCCCACTTCCGTTGGCTCTTCTTTTCGTTTGTAGCGTCAACTTCAATCCTATAAATATATTAGATATTTAATCACACAAATTGTCATCGAAGATGAGAACAAAACAATTTTTCTCAATATATATATATATATACGTAGAATATAACTCATTAAAGTAAATTGTGATCCATTAAAATATATAAAAAAATCATTGATTAGATTTTGCAATCGGAAAATTAAATGCTAATGTTTTATATAAAATCCTTTTCTAGATATAAAGCAGAAATTTTGAAGCTTTAAATATTATTCTATCGTGATTAAATATTTAAAATTTTTTTCTTTAAATCCCTATTAATTTTATAATTTTGTAATAAAAAAAAAAGAAATATATTATCAATTTTCTCTATAATTTTTTCTTTTTTTCGAAATACATTAAATAAGAATCACAACTATACTTTTTCCTACCCTTTTTCTCTTCTAAAAGATTCTCCTACCATATATCAGAATCACCATTAAATCCTGGATAACCTTGGATGTATCGCGAGATTCGGGGGGAAAGAAAGAAGAATAGCAAAAAATCTGCGGAGAGAAGTTGGTAGGATATTATCAAGGCCACCACCGGATGGGTACCTTCTTTAATGAGCTGACTACAGGTGTGCTGAACACTCGGTGGGCTCGGCTCACCGCTGCTAGTCGAATCCGTACGATCCCTGCTCTTCTCGTTCGTGTAGCCCTCGAAGGGATTGGTCATGGCGATGAGGGAGTTTACGATTTCCGGTGTCCTTGGTGTGACCTCGGCCGCCGCGACACCGAGAAGACTCGCGGCAGCCGCTGGACTAGGATTCACGTTCACATTCAGGTTGTACATGATCGGTTTAGATTACCATTTAACCTGAAACAAGAACAGAGATTAAGAGTGCGGATGTGCGGTTGATAGTTCGAGTTGGTTGAATTAATATCTCTTTGCTCTTTACATTCGAGTTTCGTTTGTGTCGCGGAATCATTTTATATCAAATAACGATATTAAATATCTTTATTAAATAATTTTTTAAAATTTACTTTACTTTTTTGTTTCGATAAATTTTCTTCGAATAGATATTGAAAATTTCTAGTCTATTTAATTTTTTAAAGAATTAAACAGGTTTGATAAAGAATAAAAAAAAGAATAAATGATATATGTTATATCTAGAGAATAAGATGTATAGGGATGAAGGTTCTTGGCTGAAACCCAATAATACGTTTCGCCTGTTCTCTCTATTAAAGAATTCCAAATATTTTTTTGCAATTTAATTTTTCATTTTCAAAATTTGTTTATAAGGGATAGAGAATTAAAATCTTCAAATAATTTGTTTGAGCAAAAGTATTTGAAATGTTTAGGCAAATTTATCGAAAATTAAGGAGTATAGTTTAAGCTTTTGGAATCGATGATTTTGTAAGGAACAGATTTTGAAGAATCGTGAAATTTGAGCTTTATACCATCAAACTTTTAAAGTTGATTTGAAACAAATAAAAAATCGCTCTTTCATAAATGTTAAAAGATCTTATCGCATTAATGACTTAGCATCTCATAACATTAATGATTCTCTTTGTTTTTTAAATAATTATTTCCGTTTGGAACGGAAGAAAAACAAGTTTATCGATTACGCTTCGTGGAATTATTTAATAAGATGGTTCAAGAAAAAAAATAAAAATAAAAAAAGAAGAGAAGTAAACAAAAATAGAAAATTTTTCGAAACATTTATTCCATTTCTGTCGATTTATCTTCCTATCAAACCTATCTCCATAATGCACGAAATTAATAATGTCGCTGATAAAAACGAAATTTTTCTAGTCTGCGGCTACGTTCTTGGGGAATTTCAAACTCCTGATAGTGCCAACATCCTTAATTGCGGTTTTTCCCAATGCGGGTATCAAATTAATCGGTGAGGAATAAACGTGGCGAAAGTTTGCAGTCATTTTCGAATATTTTTAAATACGTTTTTAAATACGTTCGATGCCAAAAAATTAAATTAAAAATTAAATATTTCAATATTTTTTCGTCGGAGATAATTCGTTCATTTAAGTGAACGAATTAACAGATTTTCTAAGCTATTGAATGATGCTTTAATGTTGATTTACTAAAGTTAACTGGATCTCTGGTCTTTTTATTGTGCATTCTTCTTTCCGGGGAACAAGAAGTTTATTGATACGGCCTTGGAAGCGTGGCTATTGAGCTCGAATAAATGCGAGAACAATGTTGAATTCAAATCGAAATGGTTGATAGCGGAACCGGAAACCAAAAGATCCTTATCGATTAGTCAGAGTGAGACCAATTTTATATCAAAATGTCATTGGTGTAATAACATTGTAACGGGATTGAACGATCAAAATAATCGATTATTAATAATTAAATACGATTAAATATACAGATAGAATTTACAAATACATAAAAGAATTATACTTCAAACGCGATAAACGTGATCCAAACGTATCATTCAAATCTACTTGATTATATATAAAAAAAAAAAAAAATTCCAGCACAGGAAGTTCCAAGACAAAAAAAAAAAAACAAAAGTTACCTTCCCTCCAACGCATCCTTCTATCGTTCCATAGCCTCCGAAAATCACGATTCTCGCGCTCATTATCTCTCGCACGGTATCTGCCACCTTCCGGTAACCTTTTCCATAGGCAGAGCGGCACGCTTACGTAATTCGGCTCGCGGATCGCAAAAATAACGAAGTCGAAAAGAACGACTTCGTGCAGGACGCGCGAAAAACCGTCGCGCGGACGTGGAGGCGGAAAGGAGGCAGTGAAACGGAAGGGGGGAGGGGAGAACGTTAAAAGCTTGTCAAACAGCCGTCAAAAATACATTTTGACGGGCCCACGTCTTGTCTGCCGTCTCCTCTAAAGCGAAACAGCGCGTCCTCCAGTTAGTTAGGTTTGTTTTCAACCATCGAATTCTTCGGATCGTTCCTCCGTTGCCCAACCTCCTCTTCACAACGACGGGGACCTCCCTTTCCCTCGACGTTTCTGCCTCTCGTTCCTCGTGAGAGTGCCAGTTCGATGCACGAATATTATACCAGAGAAATATTGTACGGAGAGGGAGAGAAAAGGGGGAGGGAGGGAGAGGGAGAGAAAAGGGGGAGGGAGGGAGAGGGAGAGGGAGAGGAGGAGAGGGAGAGACACGTTTCGTAAGAATTTTATCGTTCCGTATTCGGAGCCTAATGCCCTTGCAACTCCTCCTCCGCCACTCCGCTGCTTCCAGAGAGCGGTCCTCAGAGAGGATCGTGGGACGGTCGCGAGTACCCACCAACCAAAAAGTCCACTTCCTCGGACCGGATCCAGTCTCCTACGAATTCGATGTATCGTTGGCCGGACTAACCGAACAAGACGTATATATACCCACTGACCTATATGCTGGTACAGGAAAAACAGCGATTTTGGATCTTCGGGGGATTTGTATTCGAGGCTATGTGGAGTTTGAGCGTGAATCTCAGAAATGTCGAAAGGAGGGATATATAGGAATTGATGGATAGAGAGAGAGAAAAAAAAAAAAGAAAGATTTTTCATTTTTTTTTTCGAAAAAATTCACGACATTTCTTTTTTTTTCTGTCGAAGGCAAAATATTTTAAATTTTCGAGAATATTCAATCTGTATGATAATAATTTCGCTTGGCGTATAAATAATTCGTGTAAAAATTACGATCGATTTATTCATTTTATTATAGCGATTCTTTTAACGATAAAACAAGAGTTAAAGATCGGGCAAATAAAGGAACGAGTGGGTCTAATTTCCTCTTGTCATTTTCTCTCGCTGTATTTATTCGCACCGATTAAACGGAAAGATGATAGAGAGGATGGAGGAATCCAGCGAATCGAGGCCACGAAGTGGAAGAAGGAAGAACGCTTAGATTTTGAAATTGAGCTCTACGAAAATAACCTGGCGAGCAAAATCGCGAAACAAAGCGATACATTTCCCTCGTTTACGCTTAAATTTGCAATTCAATTAAATTTTTTCGTGTATACGTAAATTGCTCTTTCTTTTATTATATATACGTTTCATTAATTAAGAATTAAATATGGATTTATAGAATATTACATACTTTCGTCGAAAGATACAAAGTCTATTGGATATATTTGTTTTTCAGTTTTTTTTTCAAATTGTTTAAATTCTCGAAAGAATAATAATAAGATGTAGATTCTTCTAAATGCTTGTTTCTTTCGTCATTTCGTTATTTATTGGAACAGATTAAAAGATCGTAGATTTTTTTTCTTTTCTTGTTTTCTTCTTTATTACACTAATAAATTGTTCTTTTAAAATAATTTTAAAGATTTTTGAAAACCTCAAGGTAGAAATATCCGTGCAGTGCAATTTTATGACGAGGAAAATATATCGAAATATCCCTGTAGCTAAATGTTTCTTCGAATTCTCGAATTTTTTCGAAGAATTTTCTTTATATTTTATTATTCGTGTCTATTTTTAAAAAAAAACGCGAAATTTCATCATAATTCTAGAAATAATAAACCATCGATGCACGATAAAACTCGATCGATAAAAAATTAAAAGAAAGAAAATTTAATCTTTATCTCATAAATCCATAAAAATAATCGACAAGTTACCTAACGAATTTCCATAAAATTTAAAAAATGCGGAGATCGCTGAAAATAAAATCGAAGCAAAAAAAGAAAAAAAAAAAAATTGCAACGAGAGATGGCGACGATTCGTAAGAATCGTTTTGGAAGCTCTCGAAAATAATCGATCGAGTGCAACACACCGATCGAATACGTAATCGGTACGCTTATGTAAAGCTCGTAGAGCGATGCAATGGATTGAAATAATAATCGGAGAACCCAGTTTGTTTGAATGGAAACAGGTGTCCGATCGAACCCGTCGCCGCTGCATACTGTTGTAAAACGTATAAATAGAAATCGTTTGATTTTGACGTATGCCACGAATACCTCGGTATTTGGCTGATCTTCCGCCCAAAAATTCTCGAGAGAGACTATGCTTTCGATTGTTGCCACTTGCATCGTCAAGCTTCTTCGAAAATCTTCTCTTTTTTTTCCCCCCTTTTTCTTTCTTTCAAAAAAAATAATTTTCTCAGATTCATCATAAGAAGCAACAATACAAAATCTAAAATCGTTTAAATTTTTCTTCAAAATTTATCACTCTCGAAAAATGTGTCTCTCGATAAAAAGTCTCGATCGATCTCGTCGAACAAAGACTCTGCAATTTATAAGCGGCATTATTTCGTCTGTTCAAGGTACAGGCTATTCGTAGAGTGTGGCCTAATAATAAGCTCACTTCCGATTCGCAAGGTGCCGCGAACTTATTGTACCTAAGTGCGCTCGTTGTTGTTGCGCCAACAGACAATCCGCTCTCCTGCCTCCCTTTCCCGCTGGAAATTTTATCGATTTTATCTTCGACTGTCTCTGAACAAACGGGGGAAGAGAGAACATAGAGAGGCCATTGTTGCCTTCTCGAATTCGGTTGGTGATCACGTTCAAGGTGATTGTACGATCGATTTGGGAGTAGGTTCAGGATAATCAGTCGATAAAAGCGATTCGAAGGATTCGAAGAACCGTTGTGTATATTAGTTGATACACGGAATTGAGGACACATCGAGTGTTTGGTAAAAGGTTTTCGAAATTTTTTTACGCGACTGGAAAGAAGTATATTTGAATTTTTGAATAATTGTTTTAACTCGTGCATGTGTTAACGAATGGTAGGAAAATATCGATGTTTCTCTATCTTTAAATCGTTCATCTCGAACAGATGTTATTACACCTATCATTCTGCAGTTTATATCATCCGTTTTAAAACATTCACTTTATCGAAAGTAAATCTCTTTAAAAAAAGATTCGCATTGCTCTTGCAAAACATCTTTTTACAAAAACACAAGCGTCACGAGTA